AAAAAAAGGCAGCAAAGTATGATGTGGTTCTGATATTTGACATATTTGCATGCACGAACAATTTTTAAAAAGGTGCTGTATTCCCCATCATTGTGCTTTTCACCACTAAGTCTTCTTTTGTATCAAAAAAAAGCTACTCTTAGAGTCGCACTTTTACCCTGGCAATTGTAATCAGAAAGGTTGTTATTCATTCTTATTTCGTAGCATTTATTGTTTTAAAAACACTTGTGCTCTTTCAAGACAAATGATCATGTGGAGGTTGGTTAGGAAATGAAGTCTCTTTTATATTAATTTTCTCAAAGCTCATGATTTCAAGTTGAACTAGCCTCCTCCTTCAGATCCTGATCCAATTTGATTTCAAGCACCATTGTTGATCAACTCCTATGACTGAATCCAGATGGTTCATGACCAACTGAGTTGGGCGATTCAATATTCTGACTTAATTTTGTCGTTTCACGACTGATCTGATCCGATCCCCCCGGCCCCAACCCACCCAAAGAAAAACCTTTTCTTTTTTCCAAACTTTTTATCTCAATTGAAGGCTGTCCAGACCTGAAAAAGGAATATCAGTCCTTAAAGAAGGAATATCTCACCATTTTATTAGTGTTTGTTTCCTATGGTGAGTGTCTTCGCCTATGATGGTATAGCAGTGAGTCTCCAGAACAGTAAGAGCATTGACTACTCTCTGTTGTTCTGCTGCTTCTGATTTGCTCTTCTTATCTCTTTGGATTGTGAATTCTCCGCCACTTGAAATCCTCTTCCTTATGCTTTGGCACCTCTTCTTTACTTCTCCGTTACCCCTTTTTCCTTTTATTTTCTTTGAAGATTGTTAGTATTTTAGTTGGATGCTTCAGTTGTCGGGGTTAAATTACTGTGCCGTGATTATGAACAATTCAAATCCTTTTAGAGGTTTGGAGACTCATAATTAGATGAGTGTACTATGATCGTTGGAAGAACGTGTATCATATTTTACGCATAAAATCTTTTTTTTTTGGTGGTAAATACGCATAAAATCTTGATGGCTGTGTAATTCTGCCAGTATAACTAATTTGAAATTCATCATCTGTAGTGGTTTGATCAAGTAGATGTTCAGCAGCAAACAACAAATTCTGTTTAGTTGTACATTGATAGCTTCTTTGGTTCATATACCATTTGAGAACGGTTGAAGCTTCTATATGTGATTTATTTCTCATGCCTGTGGCAATGATATATCGAAGACTACTGGGATGTCGCCAAATGCACAAAGCAAGACAAGATAATCAGCTGAGCTATTAGGTGATTCCTGTTCAATATAAGGATACTTACAAGGAAGTTAAGCAACTTTAATGGGATGTTCATTGTTGCCAAGCTACCTGTAGATTTTAAGCACTCGGGATTCAACATTTTTTTAATATCAAATTGCAAGGTTTTGCAGCAAATATTCTGTTCAGTCAATTAGAAGCTATTTCATCCTACTTGTTCCTGCTGACTTCTCTTCCCTTATGTTTGGAGCAGGTTAAATGCAAATGGTTGAAGAATTGTTTAGAGTTATAAATATATGTGAATAATCTTGGAGCTGCATGCATATTTGATAGTAAACCAGATCCTTTGCCAAAACCCCTTCCCTCTGCAGTGACAACTAAACCTTCTACTTGGCCTTGTAGTTTGGGTGAACAGGAGAAACTTCATTACTGAACATAGTAAAGGCAAGGTTCTAAATGGTAACTTTATGAAGTTCTTTTTTTTTAATCACCGAAAAGTTACCAAGGTCATTGGCACACAGTGCAAAATTTGACAGATAATGGGTTCACTTCTCTACCCGTCTCCATGTAAATACTAGGCTTTATCTGTAATATGATTTGAACCTGTGATGTGCATTTAATCCACGTATCATGCACCTGTGATGTGCGTTTAATCCACGTATCATCTGTTGTGCTCTTACCTCAGACTGAAGTTGAAGTAACTTTGTGAAGTTCCAGTTGGAACATGTAGAAGGAAGAGGGAAAAAATCAGAATGGTTTAAAGTGCAAAAAGAGATGGTATAACAAAAACACGAAACTTGATGCACAAAATAATTGTACATGGTAAGATCTCCTCTTCTAGAGAACAGGGTTGATGCTCACTTGTGAGCTCCATGTCTTCCATAGTTGAGGCGGAGGATTAAAACCTCATCAGTAGCGTAGCATCTCCTTTCCCTTTCCTCCTCTCCTGGTGTTAAAAAAAAATAATCTAAAATCTAGAGAAAAAGCTTGAGGTACTTGTTCAAGTCAAGTTCAGATTGTGCTTGGACCTTTAGATTGTTTTCTGTATATATGCAGATTATTATCTTCTTTAGTGATACATGATAGTACTATTTTCTGCTGTTTTATGACAATGACTTGAAGACGCTTAACATTATATAAATGTGCACAACAGGATGGGGAATAGGTTTTGCTCACTTGTAAATTTAATATGCTTCAAATGCAGATTGAAAATTATAAGAGCCATTGCACTAATCTTCATAAAAGTTTAAGATGTATTAAGTTTTTCACTTTCCACCCTTCACTTTACTACTATTGTACAGGTCATATCTTTTCCCTTTTTCTTTAATTCTGAGTTTGAAATCAGCATTAAAAAAGAGAGGGAAAATTATGATTTTATGATTTTCTTGAATCTTGACCATGATGAGGAAACACAGAAGAATCAACGAACTAATCGCCAAGGTTACAATTTTTCTAGAATTTCAGAAAGACTTGTCAGAAATCGCTGTTCAACCAGGAAAGACATGGGACGTTTAGGCGTTGCTTGGACCGAGTTAAGAACAGACTGGCTACATAGTTAAGTGGGAAAATACGATTACAGTGAATTGAAATTCATACACTTTGTTGCAAATTTGAGCTAATCTAATATACAAAACTTCAACTAAGGATTTGATACTGTAAACAGTTCCAACACTCTGAGCTGTGGAACTATCATGATATGTTACATATTGTCCAATTTTTGAAGCGCAAAAACTTCCTCTTCATTTATTGACTTTGAACCTTGAAAGCAATCAAGATCTTATATTGATGATTCAGGTTCAGACTTCCACAAAGATGATATATCAGCCACAGCTTCAGAAACTGTTAGATATATTCCATTTAATCCAAAGGCGTCGAGAGTGTTAGATTGATGCAGTTTTTCCATAACATTCCCACCTGGATTTGCCAGCACAAGCTACACCAACAAAAAATCGAAGATTTCACGTGAAAGTAAAAGAAAAAAGGAGAAATTTTTTGTAACAAATATTTTGACTAGTGAAAAAAAACAAAGAAAACGCTTTTATGTGGCTGACGGATTTACCTTAAGAGATCGTTTATCCAGTGTCTTTCTTAGTTCACATATTGCGTCGATGCCACTTGAGTCTATGGATGACACAGCTGGTGAAGGAAGACATAATTTTGTTACTCAACATGTTGAATGCTGCCAGTAAAACAGAAGATGAGTAAATATCTCTTTTTTTCCAACTGACCTGTCATGTCGATAATTACACATTTGATTGCAGTTTCTTTGTTGGCTGCTATCCACTCTTCCTCTTCGCGAATCCATCTCAATATCCTGCAGTTACAAAATGTGTATTTGAGTAAATAGAACTGTGTTTGATAATCTTACAGATTAGTTGAAGTTAGCGAAAAGCAAAATACAGAATCTGTATCATATGTCTGAACTAACCTTTCTTTTAAGTAGGTAGAATTTGCAAAGTAGATCGGAGCCTCAACAGCAAGGATAAGGAAAGAAGGAATTCTAACAGCTGTTCTATATCTGCTTAAGTTTTGATATACTTGAGTTCCGGGAATATTGCCCAGGACACTAGTATTTGGCCTTGTTACATGCAAGAGGATCTTAAAAACCGAAACTCCAACCTAAAATTTCACAAGCAGTAGAAAATGTTAGGTACAAGGAGGAGATATCAAAGAAAGTTGTACTATAAGATGTGATTTTTGAGGAGATGCTTACTGCTATGGCTAGGCCGAGAGGCACTGAGATGAAAAGAACGCCAAAAAATGAACACAAGCAAGCCAAGAAGTCGAGCTTATCAACTTTCCATAGCCGGAAAGCAGCTTGATAATCAATTAGGCCAATAACTGCTGTGATAATAATTGCAGCCAAGATGACAATGGGGGTGTAATAGAACAGTGGCATTAGAAACAACAAGGTGATTAACACAGCTGTTGCCATTATTACGTTTGAAACGACCGTTTGTGCCCCAGCGTTGTAATTTACTGCTGATCTTGAAAATGACCCTGTAAATCAAATATTTGCTGGTTAAAAGAAAAAAAGAGTTAATCTTACTTATCGCAAACAACAGGCCAAGGAGGCGGGTACCTGTTGTAACATAGCAGGAAGAACAAGAGCCAGCCATATTCATGAGTCCAATTGCCATCATTTCTTTGTTGCCATCAACTTGGTAATTCTTTAAAGCAGCAAATGTTCTTCCTACTGCAATCCCTTCCTACAGGTCAATGAAAACGTCAAAAAGAAAGCGCTTCATAATATTTCTACGGCCAATTGCTTGTAATAGTCTCAAGTGACTTACTGTTAGTGCTAAGATTCCGGAAACAATGCCAGTTTTGATGGCTAGAGGCAGATAAGGACCACTTAGATATAACATGTTCAATGAGGGTGGATTTAGACCCTTTTGCAGGTGTCCAATCTGCAATAAACCAAAGATATTTTCAGTTTTATTCCGTCTAAAAACCTACGTTGGCAGACTCTCCAAAGTACTGCCGCACCCGTGTTGGATCTTTTAAAAATATACTATTTTTGGAGGATCCACCACGCACCCGGCGACATTTTCAGAGAGTCTGAGCAACATAGCTAAAAACTATGGATGGAGGTAAAGCTGATGAATTTTACTTACAGTTTGAATGCCATGAGCCTTGGACTTAAGGAGGGCGACTACGAGAGTTGAGAGAATAACCGAGGCCAATGGAGATGCTGCTGAAAGCCAGAAAAGTTTTGGATTCCTGGTGCTCTGTAATCACAGAAGAAAATTCAAATTAGTTAGAAAATGAACAAAGAGATGAATATTAGTCAGAATATTATGTTCTGAAATAAACCAAACACTTACAATTTGCCTAGTCGTCAGCAGAAAGGCGAGAAAACAAATGCCCATAACAATGGTTTGCCAAGACCACTGCAAATAGATATAGAGGAGTAAAACTACTAAATAATGATTTGCATCAGTTGACAAAGATAGTTATTTTTTCCACTATCTTATATCTCAGAGGAGTTCAATATCGACAAAGAAGATTCGTCTTACTTCATCTTTGTGCTGGAAAACTGAAGACAGAACAGGAACTATTTGCATCTGGCTTGTGAAGTGGACTATCCCTAATAACCCTTTCAGTTGTTGCAATGAAACAATGACTGCTGCACCAGCCATGAACCCAACCAAAGTCGCCTTCGACAGAAAATCAATGATAAATCCTAACCTGTAAACCATAAACTTTAAGTCGCTTGACATTTGAACTAACAGAGTTCTAAAATCAATATAAGCACATGGCAAAAGTTTTTGATTCTTGAAAGTAAATCTTTGAGGACCTTAGATTACTTCATAACACAAAGCTAGAATGAAATGGACTCGCATAAAACGAAATCGATACATAGGATTAATATAGCCGACCCAACTAATTTAGAAGTAACGCACCGTTAGATAAAAGTCAATAATAATGAAAATGATTGAGTGTGGCCAAGAAGGATAGTACGGAAATGTAAGCATTTGAATACTCTAATGTTTACAAAAGTCATTAATACAGGTCTACAGGCAGAAGATTATACTTAAAACAAATACTCCTAGTTTATATTGGTATGCCGAGATTCTGAAAAGCAAATATCCGTAACTGCATTATGTCAACCTTGAATTTTTTTCTTTTTCACCAGCTATATTTGTTAGTTTTATACTGTGCATAAGAGTCCAGAGTCCGGTTTTATATGGTGCATAAAAATCCTGTCTCTTTCCATGTATTTTTCTCTGCTTTCTTGCTGTTTTTAGTGGAAGTGCCCAATGTTTCTAAATGATTCTCTTTCCAAAAGTTTGTTTCCACTTAGCTACTGTAGTCCACTACTAAATTAACGGTAAATTTGATGGTGGAATGAGGAATGTTATGCTAGGATTATTCCTCTCTTTTACTTTCTCTTTAAATATTAGAAATTAAAATTAAAACGTTGCAAGAATTTTCAAGTGAATGAGAACCATTAAGCTAAAAAATTAAGTTATATACACTGACATGCGCTCTAAAAAAAATACCAATATGAGTGGCAATTTAACTTGTTATAGAACGTCGTGACGGGAGCACATTATTCTGCTCAACCAGTGCCCCCCTAAAGGCTTTTAGTGTTCAGGGTGCCAACTGCTTTAAATTAACCATTTTCAAGGTATATACGTATATATATATATATATAGAGAGAGAGAGGATTTCATCCGAAGTTTACGTGGTCCGGTGACCCCTCACCCATACACATGGTTCCGCCTCTGCCTGTCAGTGCATAAAACTTAAAAAGTCTTAACAGAATATACCTGAAAAAACCGAGTGAAGCCTGAAACAAGCCAGCAAAAAGGGTAGCTGTAAAAGCCAACTGAAGGTAAAGAACAGGCTCTTCAGTGTAAGAAACTGCTTCACTCAGCATTGTGCCCATAACAAGTGAAGCTATCGAGACCGGACCAACTGCTAAGTGTCTTGAACTCCCCAAAACTGAATAGATCAATGGTGGCACAAAGCTTGAATCTGCATAATCATATCCATTAACATTTCCACTCTTAGATTATATTATTAAATATCTAGATTTAATATAGAGTGATTTTTCTTTACATAAGATATTGCAAAGCACAAGAAAATTAGTAAATCACCATATTCGATTAAGCACACATTTACTCTTCAACATAGACTGTATACTTTAC